TTGGTGGTTCGGTGCGGTTTTTCACCGAACCGCGCTGTTGCTCACCCCTAGAAAGGACCGATAATTGTCCTATTTTGTTTGTGAGAATTAATTTATTTTAGTTAAGCACAAAAACTGTGATAATTAGTTTCGAAGTGTACTTCCAAATATTATATTAAGTTGCTGTATACAAACTAAAAAAAAAATGTTTCTCCCTTTCAACTATAAAAGTCGTTTAATATTAAAATATTATATAATTCAATACAAAAATTATATTAGAGGCATGATAACTGGAAATTTCATTTTATTATAAATAAATGAAGATTTATAAATCTTCTTAGGAGTAAGCTTTAATTCAAATAGTACATGGAATCACACATAGCAGTATAGTTATGGATATTTCTGAGGAAATAGAGACTTTGGAACGATGAGCAGAAAAGAATTACTCTCTAAACCCGGAATAGGTACTCGCTCAACCCGGAATAGGTTTATTCACCAGTAACGTTACTCGCTTGGCTCCTGCTCAGATACCATAAAGATGAAGGCTAGTAATGCCATGGTAATGTTTTGGATCACAGTAGCACTCGGAAGAAGAAAGAACAAAAGAAAAACACAGCAAACAGATACCTTTCAAGAGATACTCAACTATCTTATATTGATTGTATAACATAACCAAAAGACTACTATCTTATATTGATTGTATAACATAACCAAAAGACTGGAGAGACAGTGACTTTGCTGCAATGCATTTGTAAATCCAACCCCTAAAACAATGAAATGTTCTTCCCCAAGCATACACAAATTGATAAGCATAATCACCACATTCTTACAGAAGAAGCAAATTGTTCGGCACAACAAAACAACTTCGCTGAATTCAAATTCCAGACAAGACAATGTCCGATCAATATCTCAGGTAGCTCATATAAATTCCTGTACAAGTGCAACAACACTGTCTAATTTTATTTCATCAATTAGCTGACAAAGGGGTACAACAACACAATCATTAGCTTTTATCTTCCCAAACATACAGATTACACAAAAACAACGAGACGGGAATACCTCTAAGGCTGTACCACCACAACAACATTACAGTAGACCATGAATTCAAGCTGAAGACCAAGAAAGACACATGAATCAAGTCACTCGAAAAATAATTCTAACTCGGGAGTAAACCAATCAATAAGCGCCCCTATTTTCACCGAGATTCAATCCTGCCAATGAGTCCTCCAAACCACTGCTCGCCTGCGCCAGCCCCAATGGATCGTTATAGTTCCTCACAGCCTGTACAATGGCCCGAACTCGCTTATAGGGATCCGGGCAGTCGAAAACCTCCGGGCCCAAGAACACCCCATCACAGCCCAACTGCATCAGCAGTGCAGCATCCGCTGGTGTTGCTATTCCTCCCGCCGCAAAGTGGACCACCGGCAAGCGGCCCATCTGCTTAGTCTGGGCAACAATGTCGTAGGGCGCTTGAATCCCCTTTGAGAAGGTGAAAACCTCGTCCTCGTCCATGTTGCTCAAAACCCTAATCTCGCCCATCACCCTCCTCACGCTCCGCACGGTCTCTGCAATATTTCCAGATCCGTTGAGATCCCCCTGCGACCGTATTAAAGCTGCCCCCTCCCTGACCCTCCTCAGAGCCTCCCCCAGATCCCGGCACCCGCAGACGAATGTGGCGCGGAAATTGTGCTTGTTGATGAAGTGATCCTCGTCGGCGACGGCCAGGGCTTCGCTCTCGTCGATGTAATCGACGCCGATCGACTCGAGGATCTGCGCCTCCACGAAATGCCCAACCCTAGCTTTCGCCATCACGGGGATCGACAGTGCTTGCTTAACTTCCTTGATTACGGAAGGATCGGCCATGCGGGAGATCCCCGCCACGCGCGGATCGGAGACCACGACGCAGCACGCGCCGGCAGACTCGGCGATTTTGGCCTGATCCAGGGTCGTGACCTCGACGACGGCGCCGCCGCGGAGCATCTGGGTCAAAGCGACCTTGACGGACAAGGGGTTCTTCTTGGTGTCGGTGATGGCGGCGTTGCTGTAGAGCGTGACGGCGTTGTCGTCGGCCATTGCTGGAGTGATCGAGATCAGACGGTGCGGCTTCAAACTGGGTATTTCAAATGGCAGTGCTCCTTGGTGGGAAGGAAATGGGGAGAAAGGAGGAGAATATAGATAGACAATGGCTATGGGGTTGTGTTCTAGAAGATTCTTGGAGTCGATGGTGGCGGGATGAACTTTGTAGAAAGTTCTGTGAATTTCGGAGACGGAGAACCCTTTTATTTGAAAAATGGAATCAGAATGGAATCCAATGGTCATTCTATGGTCATTCACATTGCACACACAATTTTATGTGCCATGAAAAATGTGTAGAAGACCTTCTAGAAGTTATTCTAGAATGCTTCTATTATTTATTATATATTGTTTATTCATTTGCTCTCTTTTCCACTTAATTATAATTTTACACATCACAAATGATATCACAATTCACACTAATTATTAGAGACATAATTTTTTAATTTTCATTCTCCATGTAATTGAACACAAAATGAACAATGTCCCATGGAGGTGCTCTAACTTGAAGCAACCCAGCAGATGGGTAATGATATAGCCATACTATCGTGCAACGGTTCAGTAACCGTGGCATTGCCACAATCGGCTCATAACGGTTCATATCATCACGGTTCGAAACTGCTAAGTCGATTACAACACAGTCGACTCCGCCAGTAGGGTTTCACGGCATTCAATCAAGAAGCCCGGTTCTCGACCGAGTCGACGTACACCTGTCGACTAGAACGAGTCGACCTCTGCAAGACAGCAATCAGACGTATCAAGGTCCATTAACGGTGGGACGCGATCCAGTCGACTCGACTCAATACCTCAAGTCGACTGAAGGAGTCTTGCAGTTCGTGGTTCCCGATAGCTTTGACACACCTCAGCATATTGAAGGAGAGTTAAGGATAAGAAGGGAGCTAAGGAAGGATCTAGATGCTGACTAGGAAGTGGGCAGAATATGAACCGACCGGGGTATTCTGGACATTTCCATTGAGTCGGCCGGGGCACTTTGGGGACTTCAGGTAAATATTGCACTTCTATATAAAGGACTGAGGTAAGCCCAAAACCCTAACTCACATTCATTCCATACTCTTCCATTACTGCTGCTGCTCTCATAGCAGCTCTCATCATCTCTCTCATATACTGACTTGAGCGTCGGAGGCTCTACGCCGGAATCCCCTCCGGCGTTGAGTTCTTGTAGGTGTTCTTGCGGCTCAGCAACAACGGTTCGAGCGCCATCACATCAGATCTAAGCTCATTCTTACCGGTTCGTCCCAGATCCGGACGTTTTCTCATTGGACCGTTCCAGATCTGAGGAGAAACCCATCAGGTAAGTTTTTTTCATTTTTTTTTATTTTTTTTTATTTTTTTTTCTGCAGATGAGTAAGTTAGACATGGCCCACGGTCGCCCGGCCCGCCGGCACGGACCTAGCCCGGACCAGATTTTCGAAGGGTCGTGTCAGGGTCATCCATTTCATGACCCGACCCGGCGAGTCCGGGCCGGGCGGGGTGATGACCCGCCTTTTTATTTTCTTTTATATTTTTTTTCTATTGTTTTTGAAAAAAGTGACACAACCGGCTAGGACCCGGCCCGGACTCGGCTCGGTCAACCGGGCCATTGATATAGGTCCGTGCCGGGTTCGGGTCATTGTTTTGGAGCCCGACGACCCATCGGGTCGGGCCGAGTCACGATCCGGCCCGGGTTTTGGCCATGTCTAGGTTAAGTTAATTGGGTTAATTTACTTAAAGATTAAGATGAGTAATCATTTAAAGAGTAATGTTCCCTTACTCACCGTGGACACATGTTAATATATGCACCGCTTATGTGACATGCACACATTTGTGATGTATTTTTTTGAAGATATTAACATCACGAACATGTGCATGCCACATAAGCGGTGAGCATATTAACATGTGTCCACCGTGGGTAGGTGAGCTGTTGATAAACGGATTTGATCAACCTTTTTTATTGTTAATCTCTTGGATTCGCGTGGAAATGATATGAGTTTATTGGTCAAGCGTGGAGTAATTTGTGATTGACTCAAGTCGGTTTTTCGGACTTGAGGTCGGTTTTCAATAGTGCAATAATGTTGGAGAATATCCCAAGACCGAGGTGATAAATGCGAAATTAAATGTGTCGGAAAAAGATCCTCGTATTGTGTTTAATACTGCTATTTATAGTAACTGTGGGCTCGTCTTTTGAGGGGATGCGGCGGCATTTAATACAGCGTGACAGGACCCAGAACCTTTTCAGCAAGTGGGTCCCTTTTGCAATGATGCCCTCACGTGGCCCTCAGCTATCTTGATGGACGTGCATTTAATGCTGTCTGTCGGTTCCGACGCCGGCCCATATTTGAGGTCACATGTGCAGTGAGGTCGGTGTCTTGACGTAGTTGGTCCTCCGAGGTCGGTTTATACAGCTCGGGAACATTATCCTTGTTCTACTCGGGTCGGCCCCCTTTTTCCCTTTTTCCCTTTTTGCCCACGTGTCGTCCATCCGACGTCCGTAGGAATTTAATGTCAACATGAGCATTATTGATCATTTAAAATAAGAATGGATTTTTTGCACCACGCTGTGTGAATGGAGGTTTCGCATCCGCAAACACCTATGTTCAGGCACGATGTGCGTACAAGATATTAGGACCGGGAAAAGAGAGTGCGGTTCCACAAGATGAAGCACACCATAAGAGGATGAGCCTCGATGCACCTTAGTGAGGTTTCATCCCAAAACCAATTGGTGATGGGAGGAGTAGCCCACTCGGCTTATAAACTAGGCTCATTTACCCTATAAAATCAATGCTGGACAACTCACAAGTGATATTCCAACACGCCCCCTCACTTGGGAGTCTTTGATAAGCCCAAGCCCAGAGCAGACCTGGTAGACATATAGAGCCCAAACCCAGAGCAGGTCGGGTAGAGATATAGAGCCCAAGTCCATAGCAGGTCGGGTAGAGAGAGTCACTGCAGGTCTTAGGACATGCCCGCTCTGATACCATATTAGAACCGGGGGAAAAGAGTGCGGTCCCACCAAATGAAGCGCACCATAAGAGGGTGAGCCAAGATGCACCTTAGTGAGGTTCCATCCCAAAACCAACTGGTGATGGGAGAGTAACCCACTAGGCTCATTTACCCTATAGAATCAATGTGGACAACTCACAAGTGATATTCCAACACAAGAAAGAGTTCGGGTTGCTGTCGAGACCCATTGGGAACACCCGAGACCACGCAACTAACGCTTGACGGGAGACTCGCAACAGTGGCAGCGAGACGACCCAGGGCGACCACTTGCAAACGCCGGAAGACCGCAAAGAATGCTGGCGAGCACGAGCGCGACGCGAAGAAGTCGCGTGACAGTTGGGCTGCACGGACGCGGGCGCAGGCAGGACGAGAGACCCGCGGGTCTAGGCGCGGGCAGAGTTGCTTGAGGGATAAGTTGACGATTTCTTGTAAAAGATCCAAGACTATTTTTCCTTATGCTTTATTATTATTTCTAGATTGTTTAGGAGTTCATTAATTTGGATATTTTTAGGATTGTAGTTATTTACATTCCACAGAATTAGAAGTTAGTTTCCCTTAAGACTAGACTTAGCTATTTTCTTTAAATAACATTGTTTGGGACCAAATTATTCAGTTTTTAATCGATAAAAAATCATAATTTTGTGCAACTTCTTATGTTAGAATTTTACTTGAGTTTTAGTGCAATATCCTTGTGCCGAAGAAGCATTTATCGAGTCGATCGTTGCAAGTTCGAGTTAGCAAGGAGTCACGCTCAAGCTACCTCAACCAATCGCTGAAGCGAAGCTGTCCAAGCGCCATTTGAAGCAAAAACGAGCATCAAGATACACGATCTTCATAATCGGTGCTTTCACCGAGAGAATTGATCATGTTTTAAGTTCCAAAATAAATAAATAAATAAATAAACAAGTCTAAAAATTCGAGAGAAAAAAAGAGATAAATCAATCATGGCGGTCAAAGAAACAAAAGAGAAGCTCGATGATCCCAAGTCCCAACACCACATTCAAGATCTTGAGCGAAGGGAATGGGTGGAAGGGCTAAAAACTTCCAACATAAGCTTGTTGGAGTATACTATAAAAGCTCAGCTTTGTGATTACTCACAATTCTATTTTGAATATGATATGTGTCTTTATTCAAGTTAATGTTCGTAGTTTATCCATTTACGCGAACATAGTTCTTTCATTTTACATCATAGACAATGTGGTTCGATATGTCGAACAGAAAGATCACATTATTAGTAGTCTTGTAAAATAAATATTTGTTCATGACCCAGACAGAATTTAACTAACTATCGTGAAAGGTTGTAGTGTAATTTTCGAGTTAGTTTCTCTTTGACAAATGAATCATACTGGTACATCTCGTATGTATTGTATGGACCTTCACGAGGATAAGTAATATTATACTGACCAAACAAATAATCTATACCTCAGTAATTGTTTCGTTCCTTTAACCCGTAAGACAATAAATGGGCATATGTATTCAACACTTACTTTTTTGATTTATCAAGGGTGGTACATATTCTGTTAGGTTGACATACTCGGTATTTTGGTAAGTAATGTTGTTTATATGATATGCCATTAAGATTGTCTACGGTCACCGTGTTCCGGCACATTGTGTTGATGACGTCCCCAAATGAACTCAAGAAGAATAATTATGTAAAACACGACCAATGGATTACTTTCCGACATAACAATAAAGAATTGAGAGGTATTATTTTCGGTTCAAGAAGTTGATTATTTATATTGTCAATGATGAAATCAATCAACGGACGTTATATCTTAAACATGAAGAGGTAAATCGAGCAGTTAGTCGGGAACCAAATTAATTTTTATTCGGAGCTAAATGAAGAGTGTAGTAATATTACTCTAGTGGAATGTTCTATTATTTAAATAAGGATAGGTGTGAACACAAGTTGTAGAGACAAGGTCTTCTATTCCTATTTAGAAAGCCCATATTTAGTACATCCTTACGGTCCCTGTTGTAGCCTATAAATACACCAAGTCCCCTAACCTCCAGATACAATATTCCACACGCATATACTAGGATTCTACACGCCTAGTTACTCGTGCAAGAACAATAACTCTTCTCTTGAGAAAATTCGATAAAATCGAGAGGTCTAAGTGTTGGTGTTATATACTGAAAACTTGACTTTGGATGATATTATACCTTATATTTGTTGAATGAGAATTATGCTTGATTAAAAAAGTTATATATTCTGTTGTTTTGTACTTACATAAAATGGTTCATTA